CAGACACCCTTCCCGCCTGGCACCTGCAGGGTGAGCGCCGCAGACACCCTTCCCGCCTGGCACCCGCGGTGAGCGCCGCAGACACCCTTCCCGCCTGTGTGCCAGCTACATCCCAAGCTGCTCCCGCCCCTGGGTGACAGAGCCCAGTCTGCCGCCTCAGCCTCTGGTGGGCCGGCTTGTCCAGCTCACCCCATCCTCACTGTGCTCACAGAGTGACAAAGTGGAGGAGGAATGGGAAGAAGGCGATGGAGGAGAGGGATGACAGCAGCCTGGGCACCTGGGTGGGCATGAAATAGAGGGAACTCGAGAGGCAGGGGCAGCGGGGAGAAGCGGGTCAGAGAGCAGGGTGGAGCGGGCAGAGCCGGAAGCCTTACGGGCCTCAAGGACAGAGTGCTGCGTGGACACCAGCCAGGGTGGACCCAGGCACTGGTACTTAGGATGTGCGGTGTGGGGAGATGACCCAGCTCTGGAGACAGGCTCCCCAATCATGAGGTTTCCTGTACCCCAAGCAAGGGGTGGCTGCTCAGACACACTGGAGACCCACTAGCCCAGTTTGTGTCCTGGGGCCTCTGAGGCCCGAGGGCATGGCAGATGAACAGCAGTGCAGGCAGGCAGGGCTCGCTTACCTGGGTGGTCCTGGGCCCCTGGCTGGGCTCCCTGTACCTGCGTGGACAAGACCACAGCGTGAGCAGGAGGCCGTGGGAAACACCGGCCAGCCGGACCCGCAGCCATAGCCGGGCGCGCATTACCTGCCACGTGCAGCACAGGAGCAGCAGCCAGAAGTCCCCGAGGCAGAGTGGCAGCGGCGTCCGCATGGCACAGAGCTGACGGCCGCCGCGCGGCCTCCTCACCGTCTCTGGCCCCCGGAGAGGGACATGTTCCGGGCGGGCGGGCACTGAAAAGTCTGCTCCGCAGCAACTCGAGGGGCGTCTCCTCTGTGCTTGGAGCTGGAGGCCGGCCCAGAGCCCTGGCGGCCGTCCCAGCCGGGAACGCCGAGGAGAAGCCGCGGGCCTCGCCTTTCCTGGCCAAGAAGGCAGGGCCGCCCGCCTCAGCCCTGCTGCTGCGTGAGACCCAGTGGGCGCGGACGCGGGTGCAGCTGCAGCAGCCCCGAGCTGGCCACGAGGCCTGGGCGGCGGAGGGGGCGGGCGGGGTCCCCAGCAACCTTCCGCCACCTCCTGCTGCCACTGCCCGGCCTGGCTGCTTCGTGCTTGTCCAGCGCGGTGGACCTCGTGCTGCCAGCGCCTCCGACTCGGCCCCTCTCCCTCTCTGCATCTGTCCCGACCTCAGGGTCCTGACACCGCTGCCCAAACTGGCCAGGCGCGGGCTGTGTGAGCGGGAGTGTCACGCCGTGTGTGTTTCGGAGCGCACAGGCGCAGGTGTGCACGCACGTGTGCGGTGTGTGAATGAACATCGCGGGGGCCTCTGGCCTGACCCCAGCGCCCTGTTACCGCTCTCGGAGGCCCCAGTGACCCCCACCCTGCCCCAGCCCAGCACCCACACATGACACCGCAGGATAACCGAGGCCGCCTCTCAGCCAGTGTGCCTCGGTTTACCCAAGGCCAACAGTTTGTTTGGTCTACTCCAAACACAGCTGTCACCTCAGCCAGGCCTGTCAGGGGTGGGGCCCTGCCACCCGGGGTTGTCCACCCCCTCTCTGAGCAGAAAGAGAGTCCCTCCCGTGTGAGTCCCCGCCTAGAAGGAGCAACCACCCTCCGCCGGGGCGGGGAAGCAAGGAGGGGAAGGCTCAGGGGCCCAACAGGAGCCAGAAACACGCCGCGCTCCATAAACGTTGGGATGGCCACCGCGAAGCAGAAAGTAACCCGGATGCGTGCTGGCTCCCGGAGCCCCTTGGTCCTGACTTTAAATGGAATTGAGAACCAGCCTGCACACTTCCCAAAGAGGGAGGACGCTGGCTCAGGAGCGGACGTCCAGCAGGCAACGATCTAAACTGCCTGTGCAGCCGCCTCCTTATCACAGCTCCCTGCAGCTGCGAGCTGGAGCGCTGATCTGCCCCCAGGGCCAGAAAACGGCTCCGCAGGCGCCGCGACCTCTCCCTGGCCCCAGCCCGAGCAGTGGAGCCTGCTTCTAGCAGTCTTCTGGTCAATCCTGCCGGCCCTGAGGGAGGGGCGGTGGCCACGGCCTGCCTGAAGCTGGGCAGAGTTCAGCAGAGGGCTGCACAGTGGGCCTTCCCCCATCCAGGGCTGAACACAGCTTTCTTAGTTACTCTTCTCGCGGTGCTGGGGCGAATACCGGACTCTGAAGCTTCGGTAATGAAAGGTTAATTAGCTCACAGTGACTGGAGGTTTCCTAGCGTAAATCACCCTGAATTACACAGCAAGACCTGGAGACGCGGCCGTCCCACGCTGCAGGGTCTGGAAGGGAGGCTGGGGCGCTGCTGTGTCTAGGATGATCCGCACCATACCTCCAACAGAGGTCACCAGGTCAGCAGTAAGCACATGCTGTCAGTTTCGCTGTTTGCGCCTCTGGTCCCATCCCTCGAGCACGTGCTGCTCCTGGAGCAGCAACGGCCCCATGATTTACATGAGGCTTTGGGGGACAGAAGATGCAAACCGTAGCAACAGCCAAGCTCTCGCTCTCGCTCTCGCTCGCTCTGTCTTTGTCTCTCTGTCTCTCTCTGTCTCTGTCTCCCTCTATCTCTCTCTCTGTCTCTCTCTCTGTCTCTCTCTGTGTCTCTGTGTCTCTGTCTCTCTTTCTCTCCCTTTCGGAGTCTCACGTAACTCAGGCTGACTCTTCACTCACTATGCAGCCCAGGCTGTCCTTGAACCTGCAGCAATCCTCCTGCCTCAGCCTCCCAGCACTGGGATGACAAGTGAGCACCACCACGCCCAGCTGTGAATCCTTCAAGTCATAAAATTCCCTTTAGGTAAAGGCAGCACCCGGCTCAATGGCAGGACAGAGATGGCTCTACAGTCTGCAGAGCCAGACCCCAGGCTCCGGGCGGCCCCACCTCCACCCTCTGCTCCTGAAAGCAGCATTTCCAACCACACTGTGGAGATGTCGTATCTAACCAACAGATCAAATGCGTGCACCTTCACAGAGCATGGCTCCCTGGGGGGGAGTCCTCCCTCGACACCCCGTGAATCTCAGTCGGGCAGCATGGGGCGCTGATCTATGTAGCCCACATGGAGAGATTACACCAAGCCATTCAGTACAGCAGTCATCTCAGCATTTTTTGAAAAGACTGTTGAAATGGACTGTGTTAGCAATTTTTATTTAGTGTGGTGGCGGCTTTTGCTTTTCTTTTCTTTTTCTTTTTTTAAGATAGAATTTTTCTACATATCTAAAGCTAGCCTTGAACTCACTACATAGCCCAAGCTGGCATGGAATTTTAGGAGATCCTCCTGCCTCAGCCTCCCAAGTGCTGGGATTACAGGCAAACACCACATCTGTAGCAGTGTTTAAATATGCAGCACATGTGTGTTAGATGTGGTCACTGTGTGCATGGGGTACCCCACCTTCTGGATGCAGGTGAGCAGCTCAGCCTCACCCCAGGATGCAGTTTGGAAGGTGGCCCAGCCCACACTCCGACTGTGCTTACCCAGGGATACCGCCAAAAGGGCCGGCTGGTGACAGGACCGTGACCTCACTGCTGGTGCAGGGGACAACCTGTGAGTGACTGAGCCCTGCTCATCAGTGTGTCCGCAGGCCAGGCAGCTCTCGGGCCCCAGGTCAGTCGGGACCACTGTGGTGCCCATTCAAATGGCTCAACACACCCACGCACACCCAGAGACACCCGTGTGCACACACAGCCGTGGCCCAGCAGAAGAGCTGCCCTGATCCCTGGCACAAACACTGCTGATCCATCTTCTGCCTTGCTCATGAGGCCCAGCACTCCCTCCAAAGCTGTGACACACTTGGAAAGTACGAGAAAGAACCCTGGAGTGGCGGTGCACGCTGAGAATCCAAGCACACCGGAGGCTGAGGCAGGACAGTCTGGACTACATCATGAAACCCTGAGAGAAAGGAGAGAGAGAGAGACAGAGACACAGAGAAAGGAAGGGAGGGCAGGGTAGAATATTTGAATAGCAGTAATCTATATCTTAGCTGTTCCACCAGAAGACGTGAGCACCCTCAGGACATTGGGAAACTTCCGCAGAGAGGAGGAAACCGTACACGGAGGGGTACAGAAATGCTCACCCCCAAACCAGAACAAGGGAAACAGAGCTCCCACAGCGCCAGCCTGCAGGAGGGAGCCGCGGTGCAGAGACACCATCGGCCAGACTGGGCCATGGGCGCGGGACAAAGCAGGTCGGCATTGGTGGATCTGGTGGACAGAAGCAGAGGAGACCGGAGCCGGGAGGCTGCAGTCAGGGCCAGAGACCGGGGCGGAGGAGCCGGGCTCCAGAGGCCGGGCTCATGCAGCAAGGTACACGCCTGCATGCACACGCACACCCGGAGATGCACAAACACACGTGCACGGCCACAGAAGCGCAGCTCAGGCTCTGTAGCAAGCTCAGAGCCAGAGGACGTGGGCTTTGGGATCCTCAGCCAGAGCCCCACAGGGAGCCTTTTCTCCAGAGAGACAGGCGGGGCATCTGCGGCTGAGGACGGACGCTGCCCGGCGGGAGTTCTTCTCCTTGGTCCACACCTGTGGGGCACAGCGATCACACTCCTCGCAGGGTAATGCACACGCGCACGCCCGTGACTCATCTCCAGCCTCGCTCCCCTCCCCCACCTCAGTCCAGGCTGGCCCGCAGTTTCCGGCCACCTCTTACCTGCACCCAAATTGATATTTACTTGGGGTTCATCTCAAAGAGGCTCCGCGGGCTACCGAGGCCCCTGGGTGAGGCCCCTTCTGGGTTTGATGGAAATGTTTCCAGGTTAGTGGGGATGGTGGGGCAACCCTAGGAAAACACTACAGGATGCAGAACCTCGCACTCAGGAGAAGGTGCACGCTGTGTCCCCGCCCTCGGGAGGCTGAGGCAGGATGATTGCTGCGAGTCCAAGGCAGCCTGTGCCGCTTACTGAAACCTGCCTTAAAAAACCCAAAGTAAATGCTATTGTATACGAGCCACACGGGAATCCAATGAAAGAGGAATAAACCCTTCTCCAAACAGAAACAGAAAGAAGTCACACGCAGCTAAGTGGAAGCGCGAGGCAGACCCAGCCGTGGAGGGCTGCACGGACCCACACCGGGACCCGCTTGGCTCTGGACGCTCATACATGCCGTGGCCAGCAGGCACGAGGGCTGAGACCCTCGGCGGCCGCCGTGCTAGGCCAGTCCTGGCCGTAACAGGCTCGACAAGGTCGAAATGCCAAGCGTCTCTCAGTGGCGCGGACTGGAGGTCGGGCTGCACCGAGACCCAGACCTCCCATCTGGGCCGGTCCTGCCTGCCCTCTCTGGATGTCGTGGGACATGAGCCCACCATGTCCCTTTCTGCCAACACCGGCTCAGAACGTGTCCTACGCACAGGAAGAAGCCCTGTGCAGGCCCAAGGTTCTGCTTCCGGTCCATGCCAGGCTATCATTTGTGGGGTTTCAGGAAGGGGTCTGCATGAGAATGTCCCCGGAGACAGGCCAGCTGCGGTGCCTAGCTGCCTGCCCTGTGGGCGTCTGGCCGGAGCTCGCCCAGCACGGTGGCACTGGCACTGTACACATGACCACTGCAGCGGCCTCAGGAGGTCCATAATCCTTGCTCCTGTTCCTGGTGCCAATGCCTATGGCCCTCCCGGTCACCCAGGGCAGCTGCCCTGTCACACCGGCGCCCTGCAACCCTGTCCAGACTCCAGGACACCTTGCAGGCTCATCGTCCGTTGCCACAGCTCCTGTCGTACAGGACGAACCTGCCCTCCACGGCACCTCTGGAAGTCGGCAAGGCCTGACCCTTGCAGGACCTGACCCCCAACGCTTCTGCCTCCAGCAGCGCGCCTGCGGATACAGATGGACTGTTTGTTGGTTGAAGTTTTCTTTGTTTCTGTTTGGTCTTCTGCTTTGAGGTTGGGCTCTCCCTGTGTCGTTCAGGATGGACCTACAACTATTCTGTAGCCCGGGCTGGCCCTGAACACTCAGGGATCCTCCTGCCTCAGCCTCCCAAGTGCTGGGCCTGCAGACTCACTGTGCACCACAGATC